AAAAAGATCTGCAGAAATATCTGAATTCCAGGAAGATGTTGCCAGTCGAACAGCGAGTTTAACTTGCAAAAAGCTGAGTTCATCTTGTGAATCTTATTTCATTGTGTTTTGCTCAGTTGTCCTTTACTATCAGCACTAAGCCCCAGAAAAGTCTGTGTTTTCCTTGTGTGAAACCACATCAAAATCATATGGTAAGAGAGTCCTTCATACTGAAAAGGGAAAACCATATATGGAAGAGACAAACATTAGAAAAGTGTTAAGAAACTTTTATGGTATCCCTCAAGATGGATTAAAAATTTTTGAAGATAAAAGAAAAAGGTAATAAACAATGCATCAGGCAGAATCCTACCACACTATGCAGGTTGAATGTGGAGTCTGAAAAGATGTGTCACAAGCAGATTGCTTGTGCATTCTTGCACCAGCACCCATCTTGAGACCCATTGCCCTAGGCACCTCAACCCAGCCCTGGCTTTACTGTCCAAAGGTGGCCCCTTGCAAGCTATAATGGCCACAAGGCAATGCTGAGGCTGTTTCTTCCCTCACCACCAAGGGAAATTTTCCGGCCTTGCAAGCAAGATGCTTGGCCTCTGGCATTACTGCTCTCAGCCATTTTAACCCCTTCTTGTAGTTAGACCTTCCTGCCCTGTGTGCCAGATCATTCCTCAGCCAAGTTGGTACTGCCAATTATAATCTCCCCTTCATTAGAAATCGATGCCAGCAGACAAGACTTGCCCAAAATTGTACATCCAATTAGAAACAAGATAAGGAGTAATACCAAGATCTCATGACTTCTAGAATGTCATCTGCTAGACTAAGTGCTAATGACCGCAGGACAGCTCTCACTTGGAAAGTACATGCACCTTGTTAAGACAGTTATTCATTGTATTACTATTTAAAGATGGTGAAAAAGAGTACATGGAAATATGGAGAAATGGAAGTTATGAACAGAGCAGCATAGGAAAGTCAGGAAAAGTTTCATCCTCGTATAGGATGACACACGAAAGCAGAGGTTAAAATCAAGGCTAGAATATGCTGGCCTAAGTTATCACAAAGACATTCAGATCAAATTTAATGCTCTGAAATCTATGGAGCTCACATGAAATGTCCTCTACAGTTGCGGTTTAAAAAATCACAGCCTCTTTAAAGTGAGAGGGTATAGATCAAATGACTACTGCTGGGCTCCTGAAATTCAACTTTCAGAACCATGCAGTCTTGTAATATACATAACTAAAATTTACCTTTTTAACCTGTCTGGAGTCAGATATCCGATTGCCTTTGCCAGCAGGGAGTCTGACCTCTTGAAGCAATGCACATCCATATCTGCCAACCCACACCCCTGAGGAGATGAACTAAATCCCAAAATCTTGTTTCTTTCTCTTTCTCTCTTTTTATTTTTAACAAAATGCTCCTGTGAACAATAAATATTTAATTTTCAGAATTAAAAAAGGGCTTTGGGTTTAGTAGATAGCCTCAGTCTAGTTATAGCATCAGCAGTTTTTCCCTCTAGGGAGTAATTAAGGGAAAGCTCTGGCCACAATGCTAAACTGTGATAATGACAGAATTTAAAATCATTTTCATACCACATGCTGCATTGCAGTTCATTTCCATATGCTCTGCCTTCAACGAAGGTGTCAAGCTTACAAAGTCTCCTGGGCAAAAGGATGACCAAAGTCCCAATGCCTGGAAGGAAGCTCAGGGGAAAGACACACATTGTCACACTATATGTGATAAGGTCTCCACATTATCAAGTTGGCAGGCAGGAAGAAGGCCCTGGAGATTTTGACTATATTTGTCTCTGTCACAGTTAGCACATGAGATTGGTGAATTTTTTTTGAGATTCACCTGGGCTATAAATTATTTGTTAGTAGTGGACACTCAATACACAGCTACTACACTCACCCTAAAGCTGGTGAACAGTTATGGTGAAGCAAGTTTCCATGGTCCACACTTTGTAACACCTTGTAGCTGAGACTATCCCCTGACTGAAATGCCATATGGAGAAAAAAATAGCATTATAGCCACATTACCTAATAGGTCACTGTTAACTTGGGTGAAGCATTGCCCTGACAGTTACATTGACTCTAATTCCAGCTCTGCCTTTTTCAGCAGTAATGAAAAGACCCTTAGGGGAAGGTCATTTGCCAGACATCCCATCTTGGGCTGGGAAACAAAACTATTTAGAAGACAAATGGGGGCACCAAGAGCAGCCTACACATAATATTAATATCTGAAAATGATGCAACTGAAGAAATACTCTGGGTAAAAATAACAAGCTACCAAATTTTTAAAAAATAAAAACAAAACCAAAAACACCAAAAAAAAAACCCAAACCAACAACAAAAAACCCACCAAGCAACCAGATTCTCAGAGGCAGAAAGCTTCTCAGAGGCAGCAAATAGCTTTACATTCAAGTTTTTTCTCATTTTGGTCACCTTCACGTTCACTAAAATCAGACCCAGCTACGTAAGGTGGTAGATGAAAAAATATTTATCACACGCAGAACTGGTGATCATACTTGGGAGATCTCCCTAGAGGGGGTAATAGAATAAGAGCAGGGAAGGAGGGTGGTAAGAGAATTGGGAATCAGGACCATGGTTAGTGTGGTACATGGAAGTAGCACGGACAGGACACATCCTACAAGAGGAAGGATGGAGAGAAGTGGGAGCAGGAACTTGGTGAAGGGCATGGGGAGCAACACATGGATTGTCAGAAGTGAACCTCCAGGCCCATAGGAGCAACTCAAGGTTAAAAAAGAAAGATATTTAGCAGTGTCAACCACCCACTGAAGAAGTGAAAATGAAAATCCTGTATACAGCTAGGCCAAAAGGACCCTGAGGTGCATCAAAGAACGTGTGACCAGCAAGTCAAAGGTGATTTTCACTTTCTACATCATTCTCATGAGATCCCACCTGGAGTGCTGCATCCAGCTCTGGAGGCCCTAATGCAAGACAAACATGAATGCATTGAAGCCAGTCCAGACAAAACCACAAAGATGATTAGAAGAATGGAACACCTCTTCTGTGGAAACAGGCTGAGAAAGCTGGGGTTGCTCAGCCTAGATAAGAAAAGGCTTCAGGGTGCACATTCCAGTACAAAGCATGGCCCTATGAGATGGCAAGGAGGGACTTTTAAACAAGGGCATACAATGACAGAACAAGGGGAATGGCTTTAAAGTGAAAGAGGGTGAATTTAGATAAGACATTAGGAATAAATTCTTTCCTGAGAGGGTAATGAAGCATTGGAACAGGTTGCCTAGAGTAGTTGTGCATGCCCCATCCCTGGAAGCATTCAATGCCAGATTGAATGGGGTTTTGAGTACCTTCCACTGTTCTAGCGAGGAAGACATTGCTCCTGCCCAGAACGAGGGTTTGGAACTAGATGATCTTGAAGGTTCCTTCCTATGCAAATCATTCTATGATAAAGAACAAAAAGGACTCAGACAACCCAGAAGCATGAGGGATTGTGGAGGTATTATCTAGAGAAAATGAGCAAAAGGACAGGTGACACATTCCTCCTCATTCTGGATCAGAGAAAAAGAGCCCTGAAGCTTGCAACTTCAAGTCACCCACAGATCTCTGCAACACAGAAAAAGTTTAATTCCCCTTTTGGGTGCTCATTCACACAGGGGACAAAGATCTGACACTGCACGACCTTTGTTCTGGTACCAGGATTTGGAGCCATCAGCCTGAAGAGCCTTGATGGTTTTTACAGCTGTATGATATAGAAAAAAATAGAATGAGGAAAGAGAATGGATTGCTCTTGTAAGCAGCTTAAAAACACACCTTAAATAACAAGGAATCTACTAAAATATCATTATTGAGCTTAAAAAAGTCATTCCTCATAACTTAGAAAATCTTTAATTTTGGTAATTTCCAGTTCTGAAATGCTCCAATTCTGAATTCTTGCTTTGATGTATCATTATGGTAGCATTATCTGTGTATGGTAACTGTTGCTCCTGTGAAATCATATTTCATACTACTTTCCACCTCTTAGGGGAGCAAGAAATATTGGGGGGGGGGTGTAAGAACAAACAAAACAGCAAAATTTTGAAGAATAATGCTGATGTATATGTATCCCAAAAGTTGGAAGTTTTGAACATACCCATTTAAACTGGAAAATTATTAATTCATTTATACAGGCTCAGAATGTTTACTTCCAGCACAAACCTAGAAAGATACCAGAACTTTTTCACCTTGGCTAAAACTTATATCTCACTAATTCATTGAGGCTCCTCCATTTCATCTCAAATCATCCATCTCTAAACACACCAAAACCTGTCACAAAGGCTTGAAAACTTATTTCCTTTGGGTTTTTGTTTGCTTAACATGGACTGTCAAGGAATCAATACCTATTCTCATATGCACACAAAGACAAGTAATCTTAAGCATGCATATGAATAAAAGGCAAGCAATAGATTTTATGCAATTGGGACACTGCATAATCTAAGTTTGTAAACCTCTTCAAAGACCTTTATAGAACTAATTAAAAAGGTAGAAAAATATCTATCTCAATTAGGACCATACTTGCTTATGTAATGTTTTTGTGCAAATACGATGACCAGGTAAATTTTAAACTCTGTGAAACTCATATATCAGGAAGGAAATAAAGTGTTCTACGTGCAATGCTTCAGGAAAGGCCTGGCCACTCAAGACTGACAAAGTGGCTGACAATTTTTCAAATCCTCTCTTTTCCCTCATTATCCAGAAGGATAGATTAAAATTCCCAGTAACATTCTTAAGACATCTCACTAGTTACAAGAATTCTGATAATATAGTCAGGAAGTGAAAACAACAGTATGTGATTTGCCTCTACCCCTAAATGAGAGATCAAATTTCACTAACTACATTTCAAATACTTACAATTAGCGTTAGAGCAAAAGACTATAAAGAGTCTCCCTCAAACAAAATAAAAAAAAAGCAACCAAAAAAAAGCACTTCTGTGAGTGTAAAAGTTACATTTATTGAGCATATTTTTGCATACTATTATTCACCAAGACTTACCTTATTTAGTAGAAACCATTCATTTGTATCTTCTTTATAAATTTTACATTGAAGTCCAAGTTCATGCACATTATGATAACTAATATCTTCTTTCTACTCCTGGAAGAGAGACCCCATAATTATACCATTAGCACAGCAATGGCATTAATTCCCCATATTAATATTAATAATATTATTTTTCTCCAAGAGGAATACTGCATACATGAGAGCAAAGTCTGGCTTTACTTCCAGAATCTCAAGTGTCTTTGGACAAGAATTACTTCTCACTACACCAATGCAAGAGAGGTAAAGATTATGGAGATGGCCTGAGCTACACACAGGTTAGGCTAAATTATTTCCTGCCAACAGGGTAGACAAAGAAAGAGGAACCAACACTGAGAATTTTCAGCAATAGAAAATTTGTTGGCTTTACAGGATTTAGATGTTCTATACATATAAATTACACTCACTCATGGTATGTTAACAGTCAACAATTGCATGAATATTCTCAGCAGACCTGGGGTTTTTATGCATGTCTTTCTATAATAAATGTAGAGTTTATGAAATATCTATGGATAAGAAATGAAACAAACAAATAATTATTTCTCTCTTGGGGGCCAAAAGAAAATTTTGTTTCATTTTGATTTTAACACACAGGCATGACCCACGTGAATCAAAACAAGGGGAAAAGTTTACATGAACTGGAGAATCAAAAAGTGCTGATGTTTTGCATAAGTTTTGTAAATTAGCCTCTTTTCTGTGCTGTGCTCCTTGATAACAAATTGTGGTCTGGGGACAGCTTCTGCAGTGGGTTGGTGGTTTGGAATGTGATTTACTTTGGTAACCCAGATATCAGTAAAAAGCCTTTATTCTCTATTAGGGAATATTAGTTTTACTGAGACATTCAGCACATTTCCAGAAATAAGTAAATAAACCTATGACTAATTCCCTTCACTTTAGACCATGAAGAGCCACTGACCAGGACAAAAGACATCAGGTTGGCATTTTATGTCATACCCAGATGCAACCAGCCCCTGAAGTGACAGACACCTGAACCAGATGCCAGATAGGAACTATATGGTGGTATAGCACAACTGTTAACCAAGGAGTACACAGAGAGCTAGAAACAGGAATGAAAAGATCTAAATGCACTTATCCATCACCAGCAGAATAAAAAGGGGAGTGCAGCAGCCAGTTCTTCTAAATTACCAATAGTTTCATCATTTTACTTGGAAGCAGTGGATTCTGCTGCCAGTTTTGATCCAACCTGTTTTTGTCATTAAGAGTGGGAAAGTAACACTGAGTTTATGGTAGCATAGCACAGAAAGCTAATTTATGGCCAATGGCCTCAGCAAATGCCTGCAATCAATGGCTTGAGTATGGCTCAATGTGTTTTCCCTCATCAAAGGTGAGTCCCAGAGCCTGGGTGAATATTTATGTTTGGCAAATACTTCATTTAGCAATGACAACATTAAAGCATGTCCTTTTTATTATTCCTTCGTCTCTACGGTCTCTTCTTTCCCGTAACTCATTTTAAAAAAAATCAAAAAATCAAAGCCACCAACACATTTTCACACAAAATTTTCCAAGAGTTCAGACTCTAAATGAAGGTCATCTTTCATATTTGCAACATTTCAAAGAAAATGTGCAATCTATAAAGTTGTTTTATACCAGAAGAACTTACACTCACTGAAGTCTAAGTCACATAGAGTCATTCTGTCAATACTGCACGGCCTTTCAGGTACAAACACAGCCATCAAACTAGAAATGTTTGGCTCAAACCTCACTGCTCTTTGGGCCAGGTAAAGATTTTAGCCTATGCCCTGCTGAAACTCAGTCTTCTAGTCCCTAAAATCCTCAAAACTATCATCATTATTTTGAAATTTAGCTTGAAAGGACTATTTTAATTGAACTCATCATAAGAAGTCAAAGCTTTTAATTAAGAAAAAGACAAACAGCTTTTAAGAGTCTATAAGATGGCAAGTGTGTAAGAACCATTTCCACAGACTTCATAATGTAAAGTTAATTTAGAGAAACTGATTTGAAACCATACTTTGAAGCTGCTGCTTGAAAGCCATGGTCATTCCTTCTAAATTTTTTATATTTAGGAAATATAAGCAAAAACCAGCACAAGCCAATGCAAGTGATAAGCCTACCAAATTTTTTAAGCATTATGCACAGCTTTATATGATAAGGCCACCCACTCACCAGCTGCAGCTGAACAAGCCATGTGCTAGCAGAGACAAATAGATACACAATAAGATACAAGTATGTCATCCAATAATAAATAACTACACCAAAATCTCAAGCCAAAATGTTTTGTAAATTTCAAAACAAAGTTAGGATGGCAAATTATTTTACCCATCCTCTTCTTGGGATGTAGAGTCACATTGAGCCTTACTCTTGCAGAGAGATTGCCCTTTGAATGGAAAGCCATTTGTCAGCAGCTGAAGCTTCACAGCATTACTATCTAGGGTTTGGCACATCAGTAGGATACTGACAACTGAGGCATTGGAGGCACTGGGAAGCAGCAGGAATACTGATTATGGCACAGCTGCATATGGAAACAGGGTAAGAATTCTAGCCCATGGAGAATTTTTATGGAAGCAGTATTCTGCTGGACCAACCCTTTATTAATGATGTAGCCACAGGGGTTCATTAGGCATCTGCAAATGACAAGGATTTTATATATAGCCCAAACAACAGGTAACTGTAAATTGTAGCATGTACCTTTGTACTTGGAAACAAGAATTAATTCCACCAGTCACCGAAACTCAGGCTGCCAACCCGTTGTTTGACCTCTGTTCCTTTGACCACAGCCATGAATAAGCCTTGCCTCTTTCTCTGGCAACTTTCCATTCAGCCCAAGTTCCATTCATTATGAAAAACTACAATTCAGCATCTGAACCAAGAAGTGAGGCTTTTAGATTTTAACCATAGTTTGCAATATTTAACAGAACCTACCTATTTTCTGGCAGTAACTGGCTGCAATCGTCATTGCTAAGTTGAAGCCCATTTATAAACGAGCTGAATAAGGGAATAATTAACAAAACAGTAATGAAAATATGATGGCATGTTATTGGCAAAGGAACATGGAGAATTTCTTAGTGAGTATGGGAATTGTTTGCAGTTTAGGAGGCATGTCCCATAAAGAGATCCATGATTTATTTCAGATCTTGATTGTCTTCTAACCTATGACTTTTGTCTTGTCATATCAAGCACATTGTCTGATAACAGAGAGGAACCAGAACAGTTAATTGAACAGCCAAGTGATAAAGACTAATAAATCCCTGGATTTCTACCTGGTGAGTACATTTTAATAGGTAAGAGGAAGTAAGCAAAAGCCAGGCAGGGTGACTCATCAGTTCTAGCAATGTAAGAAAATTAGATTTTAAGTGGAAAAAGATGTTTCCTAGGAAACTGCATGATCTGCTTGTGGAACATCAAACAAGAGCAATTTCCTAACAACAGCCATGGCTAAATTGATCTACTGCACCTCAAACAGCTTTATCAGTGAGAGAGAGAGATTGAGTCTCTTTTATATTTTCTTAGTTACCATCATCAATTTGTCTATTATTTGACTCCTTCAGCTGTTACCTTTCTGACCCTCCAGAAGTACAAGTATGATATTTGCCATTATCTAATTGGAAAGCACATTTTGCTTTCCCTCATCTTTTCTGTCTCTCCTTTTTGCTGCAAGCTCTAGATTCCACTATTGCTGCTGCCACTGAGCCACAAAGATGAGAGCATGTATCATGGCATGCAGCAGGCATAAGTTCAAGCAAGTGTTTAAAATCCTCCACTTTACAGCAATGGAAAGTGAGCTGCAACATAAGCAACCTCCTGGGCTCCCTGCTCTGAGATGTTCAATATACAGTACATTCAGCCCGCCTATACAATTTACACTGGATCAAAAACAATGCCTTTCCCTTTACACTCTCTACATTTTCATTCCAATAAATTAAAAGTCTCACATTTCTGTGAAAGCACATGACACTTTTTGCATTAGGCACAAAAGATACCAAGTACTTAAGATGCTAGGGTGGAGAACATTTGTTCTGCTTGATCATTTCCAATGCAGATTGTTCAATATGCATAAGTTGCAGCTGATGCAACACAGAGACTGTCTTCAGAGCATGACCATGGATTTCTGAGCATAAATCAGGGCATGTGCTGTGTGCAGTCAGACAGGGAATTCTAGTACCAGGCACCTCCTCGGCGCTCGTGCTGCACACACAGCTGGCACGTGTCCTGTGACACTGAGCAGAAAAGGAACATCTGCTCAGCAAAAATGCTCTCAGACAACTTGTTTTCTTGGATCTGCCTCTGTGCATTTAATATGTGTGTCCACCCTGAATCCCAGGTATCATAAAGCAAGCAAATTTACTCTAGGTACACATATAGAGATGCATCCTATCCGGAAGACAAGGCATTCAAATTACTCCTAGGCAAATTTTCCTGAGAGAAAAGAGATGTCTGAGGAAACCCAAATGCCTGGTAACTCTAATCCTGGCCACTCTTGAGCTATCACAATGGATGAAGACAACTGCCAAAATTAAGAGCCAAAATTTAAAGCAGGCTGCCAAATTCAGCAGTACTAAAACATTTTAAAGTATACTGACTGCACAGAGTTGTAAATGGAGAAAAATACATAAGACCAAATCCGTTCATGCTTACAAATTTGTCTACTGTGCAACTTGTGAGGAAATAAGAAACAGAGACATTATAGGTCTCTTCCACATCAGTGTTGTTCTCATCAAAATGAACTAACAAAGTATTCTACCTAATATAACCCTATGCAACCAAGGTTTTATTATTACTACTGCTACTAATTTGAAGATTATGATGCATACAGAAAATACGAAATTCAGAAAGTCTGTTCAAGTACTTGTACTGCCTAAAATAAAGCAACATGCTCTAGAAAACATGAGTTTACTATGTCTGATTCCACGGCCAGTGGAAGCTGTCCTTCAACGTGAATTTCTCCACTACCAGCTGTGAATCAACAAGTCACACATGAAACAGAAAACCATGTGAAAGCCAGGAAAAGTGAGAGAAGAGACTTTGTGTTATGGATTTGTGGCTTCAAAGTCCTGTAAAGAGATGGCGTGGGGAGAGTT